TATATATATATATATATTAATTACATTAGTGTAAAAATAGTATTTAATATCACACATTTAACATTTAACGAACAAAAATCCAACATAAAAAATGACCGGTGACAGTTAATTTTATAAAGAAAATGTCATTATAGATTCGACTCCAGGAGTCCCTGACGTCAAATACATTATAGACACCGGTTCCCCACCTCACAGATGTTAAAAGTCTGCAAACAAAACTGAAAAGTCACTATTATATTGATTTTACATGTCGTCTACAGGTCCTTTGACATCTAATTTGAATCAGACTTCGGTCCTTTCACCCACGAACGTAAAAAATGTGCGAAAATACCTCATTTTGGATGTCAATATTAATTTTTTTTACAACTTAAACATCGACTGCGAATGGGGAGCCGATGTCTTAAAGCAATTTGACGTCGGCTTGGAAGGGGGCCAATGTCAAATCCCTTCCATAATGTAAGCATCATTTTGCGTTTTTTCTCTCGTTGTTTTTGTCTTTTCGTCTTGTTTTCTAGTTTGTCATTATCGTTCAAGTGAGTTTTCTTCCACTTTACACTTTTTTAAATTATTTTGCAGAAATTACATTATGTTTGGAACCATTATCTTTCATTTGCATCGACTAAAAATTGTTTTCATTGACTTTTGGTGCAATTCTTGTGCGCGAGTTCTCGGACCTCGGCAACGACGTTTTCCCTCTCCATTGCTTGTGTTCATTCTCTTTCGGTGTTTTTCATTTTCAACCCTTCAAAAAGGTTAATATTTTGGTTGGTTATTGTTTAGTATTTTAATTACTTGAAACACATGATATATATAATTTTGTGATGTGTTGGGATCATTTTCTGTATTTCAGGTGTGGTATTATTGTAAAAACAAATTTTTTAAAAATAAAAACAAATTCGAGGTCAAATAGTATCAAATCGACATCAATTGATGTGATCCACGTGAAATACGATATCAATTATGTAAAATTCAACGTTTTCTTATAAAACGTCGAGTTTAAGTTAAATCCAGAACAAAAAATATCAAAGGTCCTTTTTATAATAATATTACAAACCATTTTTTAAAATTAAATTAGATTTAAAACTTGCATATTATTATTTGATCAACACTTATTTTAGGAAATATATATATATATATATATATATATATATATATATATATATATATTTATATAAGGTGGTTTGATTGAAATTTTCATTGATATAAAAATAAATTTTATATTTATTAGTTTTAACAGCCATATAAGATTTTATCTTATAGTTCTATTTAATTTATGTCAAAATATATTTATCCTTTTAGTAATTAAAATCTTGTATTATTTTTTTCATTTATGTAAAAATAATTTTTATATTTATCACTTTTAACATAAGATTTTTTCAGTTAATTACAAAGGACAGTATATTTTGACTTAAGTTAAATACAACGTAGAATCATAAGACAAAATGCCGTGAGTTCATCGACTATGTCCTGTATTTTTGTTTCTCAACTTTAATGTCGTGAAACCATTGTGTTCGCACTACCATCGTCACTGTTGAAATGTCACAAAGACACATAGGACTATATATATATATAATTAAACATGCGAATTTTTATATAAACTTGGACACTTTTCATCTGACGTAAAATTTCGATGACTTTGCAATTAATCATACACATTTTTTATATTTTAAATAATTTTATTTTGATTAATCTCCAATTTTTCCTTATACACGTCTCACGTAGAAAAAATAAAAAATTCAACATGTTCGCAGCATATATGTCTGTAAATATTTGTTTGGGCAATGTTTTCATGTGCCACTTATTTTATTATATTTTCATTTGAATGACATTTTCAATCAATTTTATATATTTTTTGGCCGTTGGATATTGTTGCTTGAGTAGTCATAGTCTTTGTTACGTGAACATGCGATTCATCATTTATGGAATAAACAAAAACAAGTTTCCATCCATAGAATTGAATTTTTCTCCTTTTCACTCCCACAACACAACACATGTGGTCACAGTCAGTCTTTCGTAAAATATCAATATCATTAGTTTAATAAATAATATCCATCAATAACGTTAATCGACTTCCATAATAAAAAAACAACATCTTGACAACAATCTTGCTATTTTTTCTCGAGAAAAAAAGTATTTTGGTAAAATAAATTTATCAAGAAAATCCCGAACACGAAAAAAATAAAATAAAGTATCTGATAGTATAATAAATAATGCAATGAAAATAGTAAAATGTAGTATTTCCAAATTATTATTTAAATAATATATATATTATTGGGAATCAAAGTATAGTTTTATCTGATTGGACTCTGATTTCACCAATTAAATCCTTCTCGATAAATCAACATTTATATTTTTTATAAAACTCCCCTACCACTATTTCGCATGTTTTCAAAATCTCTTAATAGTCAACTACTTTTGTTGGTCCTGTGATGTAATCCATTTCAAACCTCCCACGATGTCTTCACCTACCCGAAGCACACAACTACTCAACCACATTTCTCTTTTATGATCTTCTAGAAAATTATTTTTCCATATAAATTTAAAGTTTGGAACAGTGAAATTAATTATGAAAATCAGTAATGAGAAATACTTGATTTTACTACTGTCCTAAAAGATTTATTCAGCATAGAAAAAGTTAATTATATTTTGGAAAAATTGAAAAAGTTAATCGATTGTGAACAAACATGTCTTGCATCAATATTATTATGGATGAATCATTAGATTTTGGTGGGCCTGAGTTGCCACTTGTTCACATCGCATCGTCTTTTAAAATAAAAGATCAGATCAGGTTCTCCAACGCCACGCCCACCTCGTGCTTCCCTTTTTCCTTATTTTCTGAAATTTATTAAACCACTGAGTAAAAAAAGAAAAGGTTTAATTTTAGGCTATTTTTGTAAAATTAAATAAAAATTCTATAATTGACAATTGCCGATTCAATTATAGCGTGAAGAGTGTATGGGTATGTATCATCAACATTCAGTATATACTATATAATAAAGAAAAACATGAATATTCAATTACTATTTATTTCTAGAGAAAAAGAAAAGCAATAGAAAAGCTTCTTGTAAACGACGAAGGTGTTATAAATATCAGAACACCGACGAGGGTGTGTTTTTCTCCGAAGCTTTGTTGGCGGCAAAGCAAATCTGTATTGCGATGGCGCCCACGAAGCTCTTCTTCTTTGCGTTTTCAGTAGCCCTAATTTTCGCCATCGTCGGGGCCGAGGCTGATGTTTCCGTCGACGGAAGCGTAGCAGAGCCTGATTCCTCTGCCTTCAAGATCCAATTAGATCAACTCAATTCTAAGATCCGAATTCTCGGTCTGTTTTCGTCTTCTATGCAAAATGAAAACCTAACTCTGTTTTTAATCTCGATTTTTTTCATTTCCAGATTTTAATTTTAGTAGTTGCACTCTTCGGTCACCAGCAAATCCGCGTTTACGATTTTTGTTTCTCTGCAATTAAAATTAGGACCGTGCTATGATTGTGAGTCGTAGTGTTGTCGTGCTCACGGTTTTAAATTAGGTGCAGTCGCAGTGTTTAAATAGCAATTTCTGGTTTTTGTTTATGCTGTCAATGAGAGTGCTGTTGATTGATCTTTATACAAGTACCTTTTTTGCGTACTTGCTAACGATTTACGATTGTAATGACTTCTTTTTATGGTTTCGTTTCATGTCATTTGAATTCAAGGAGTTATAATTCCCTCCCCTTTTTCATCTGGATACATGCTGATTTCTTACGGTTTCTTTTTATGACTAACATGTGTCGTGTTTAATTTTATTTTGAAGAATCTGAAATCAGAGAAAAGTCAGAAGAAGTGAAGAGGAAGGACGAAATTGTGGCCGGAAAAGAAAAAATTATTCAAGATAAATCGGTCACCATACAGTCCCTGCAGAATGATATTGCTTCTCTCCAGGTGTGGGACTAGACCTGGATTACAATTTTTCTTCATTACACAGATGTTTTCTTTTTTTAATATTGATGTGGTATTGTTACTTCATGTAATAATGATAATTTGAGTATCGGTGGTTAGTGTAAGCATCCCATTCTCATGCTTTATTGTATTGTTGGTAGTATTTTTTTTTTGTTAATAAATTGTACTTAGAAAACTTTAAAAAATATTTTTCCTCTCAGAAAAAAGGGTCATTGGATGCTGAAGAGCAAGTCGGAAAGGCTCATGCACGGGCTGTTGAACTACAGAATCAGGTTACTTATAAATCAGCCAGTAGACGTGTCTTGTATGATCATTATTCTATAGTGCAGACTCAGAAATTCTTTATGCAGGTGGACAAGCTTAAAGGGGAACTAGAAACACAAAACAGGGAGAAAGGGAACTGGGAAACTCGAGTGCTTGGGTTAGAGAAAAAAGTTAATGACTTGAACTCAAAATTAGAAGATGTAAGTTTTACGTTTACCAACAGTTCTGTTTTAACTAATGTGCCTTAAGTGCACCTCATTATTGTTTTGTCCTTGAAACTAATTCTTAATCACTATTTACAGTTGATTTTTGTGTAAATACTTTAGTATTTTAATTACACATACGCTGAGTTATATTCCCTTTTCATTTCACTTCTTCTTATCAATGTGTCTTGTAATAAAATTGATCTGTTCTAGGAGTAACTTATGCACCTTCACATGTTCAATTCTCACTTGGGAAGGGCATACGTTAATCTCCATTTTCTACATATCTACCTTTTGGTTTTCACATGCCATTCTCCTTTTTCCTCCTTCGTTTGTATTGTAATTGTAACTGTATTCTTCTAGCTTTGAACAACATGCTATACTTCTCTGCCATTTTTTTTTTTGCATGTATAGTCCTGCCTATCTCTACTTTTCGCTTTCCACTATGACTTAATACATGCTGCATGTTCTGATTCCTCAAATTTGGAAATTTTCGTAGAGTTTGCTTTGAGATGTTAATGGTGTAGAAGTTTTTATGCTATTATTGACAAGCAAGTGTGAATTAGGATATTCTCTTGGTTGGAGGCTTCAGTAGGTCTTAGAAACTGACGTTGTCAGCTCAGCAGGCAGCCGCACCTTGCTGTTTGTTTATTTTCATGTCGAATTTACTATTCATTTTTTTGGTGCATGCTTTTGGATTATGCTTGGCTTGACGTGCATCCATCCTCTGATGTATTGTGTATTACTGCAGCATCATCATTAGCTGCTAGTTTTTTGTTAGTTGGTATGATAATAATATCTACTGCTGTTGGCTTTAGGTTGATCCGACTCTCATTTTAGATCTAAGAGAATTACTATTGACCTCTATTACATCCAAAAAACGAATTAAAAACCATTATGTCATTATTTTTCACTAGTTACCTGCAGTACTGTAATCGATTTTCAAGTTATTCAAATATATTCTGTCTAAGGATGACGCGGTGACCTGAGTAAGTACATTTTTCACAGCTTCAAAAGATAAACCAGGAGCAGAGGACACAGATTCAGAAAACGGAGCGTGCTCTTAAAGTTACCGAGGTATGTCAGTGCATAGATTTTCTTGTCTATGTTGTGCAGGAGGATGCTTGATGATATTTTTGATTGAAGTCTTTTGATTTTCACCTAATATTCTTGTTTAGGAAGAGATGGTGAAGGCTAAGTTTGAGGCAGCTGTCATAGAAGCAGAGTTGAGTTCGGTAATAATTCACCAATTCAGTTTAATACCTACATCATTATATCATTCTTACACGTCTGTAAATTTTGATAGCCGTTTTAGCTATCGATGTTGTGCCTTCTATCTGAAACTGAAGAATATCTTTAAATTCTTTGTCATTTTATTTATAGCCTTGCAAAATTGCGAATAGTTTATTTGTTGGTTAAGGTTTTAGGGTTGTTATTGAAAATGTCAACATATTATTAACAATAATGCAGGAAAATAAATGAATTAATTGGATGTCATTGCTTAGCTTTTAGGCTCAGTCTTTGTGTGACACTGCTATTGCTTACTGATTGGATTGGATAAAATCGTGAGAAAATAGCTGAAGTTGCATAGCAGTTGAAAAGATGAATTGTGTATGTATAAAAAAGTTAAGGTGTATGCTAATAAAAATAAATGCACAAAAATTAAAAATTAACTTAAAGTTCAATTGAGTGGAGGCTTGTTGGAGATGGCAGGACGATGTAGGCTGCATCATGCAATCATGGCAATGACAGAAGGAGTTGCGATTGTCGATCCACAAAATTCGACTATGTAATGGTGATTTTGTGCTGCCATAGCAGCCATTTAAGTACACTGCTTTGTGATAAACATGGTGGCTCTTACCTTGGACTGGAGTTCTTAAATTGATATTTTACTAAAAAACACTGGAGGTCAAATAAAAGTGAATTGTTCATGTTAAATACTAAATAAAATATTATTTGAAAATACTTGTACATGTAAATACTGGTTTCTGATGGATTGTTTTTCAATTAAATTCAGTGCTTAATGAACAGAATCCATAAGCTCGTAATAACTTAAACTTCATAAAATAGAAAAGGTAAAATCTCATCATTCATCCTTGATTTGATCCTTTGAGTGCGGTTACCATGGAGAGCTACGTTTACAAGCTGCACTTAGACATTCCTTTTTTTTTTTTGACAAACACTCCAAACACCAACAAGGGACAATAGAAAGCTCTAACCATTGTTGGACACTGTAACTCAAACTAGCATGTGATTCAATCATAGAAATCTCAGCCTTAGTATGTTTAAGTCGGACTCATGGATAACCAGGGTGAGACTGAACATATGTTGTGGGGTTTTGATGTAGCTCCAAGCAATTGCCAAACTACCATTAGCCTTGCTTAGATCCAGTTTAATATCCACGACCTGGAACTCCTAGTCTAAATACCCTTCAAAATATGAAAAATATAAAATCTTTAGTCCAAAACGAGTTTCCGTTATCTTATTATTTTGAAAGGCTTTGTGTAATGATTTCACCATATTCACTTCAAAGATGAAAAACTTAAAATCTTGAGTTCAAAACGAATGTCCATAATCTTAATATTTTGAAATGGATTGTGTAATGTAATGATTTCACCATATTTTTCTTCTCATATCTAATATTTTCTATTTCATTGTTAAATTGTAGCATTTTAGATTTTTCCATTTTTTGTTTTTGTGTGCAGCAGTTGCCTATTGCTACAAATAATGATAGATTAGAAAACCATTTCATTTTCTCGAAATTTTTTATCATATTAATAATTATAATTACGTACATTGAATTGATTCATACTGGTGTTATAATCAGACACGTGGTGCTTGGCTTCCACCTTGGCTTGCTGTACACTATCTTCATAGTAAGGTGAGTCTATGTTGTATCTCCTCTGATGTTNAATAGAAAAGCTTCTTGTAAACGACGAAGGTGTTATAAATATCAGAACACCGACGAGGGTGTGTTTTTCTCCGAAGCTTTGTTGGCGGCAAAGCAAATCTGTATTGCGATGGCGCCCACGAAGCTCTTCTTCTTTGCGTTTTCAGTAGCCCTAATTTTCGCCATCGTCGGGGCCGAGGCTGATGTTTCCGTCGACGGAAGCGTAGCAGAGCCTGATTCCTCTGCCTTCAAGATCCAATTAGATCAACTCAATTCTAAGATCCGAATTCTCGGTCTGTTTTCGTCTTCTATGCAAAATGAAAACCTAACTCTGTTTTTAATCTCGATTTTTTTCATTTCCAGATTTTAATTTTAGTAGTTGCACTCTTCGGTCACCAGCAAATCCGCGTTTACGATTTTTGTTTCTCTGCAATTAAAATTAGGACCGTGCTATGATTGTGAGTCGTAGTGTTGTCGTGCTCACGGTTTTAAATTAGGTGCAGTCGCAGTGTTTAAATAGCAATTTCTGGTTTTTGTTTATGCTGTCAATGAGAGTGCTGTTGATTGATCTTTATACAAGTACCTTTTTTGCGTACTTGCTAACGATTTACGATTGTAATGACTTCTTTTTATGGTTTCGTTTCATGTCATTTGAATTCAAGGAGTTATAATTCCCTCCCCTTTTTCATCTGGATACATGCTGATTTCTTACGGTTTCTTTTTATGACTAACATGTGTCGTGTTTAATTTTATTTTGAAGAATCTGAAATCAGAGAAAAGTCAGAAGAAGTGAAGAGGAAGGACGAAATTGTGGCCGGAAAAGAAAAAATTATTCAAGATAAATCGGTCACCATACAGTCCCTGCAGAATGATATTGCTTCTCTCCAGGTGTGGGACTAGACCTGGATTACAATTTTTCTTCATTACACAGATGTTTTCTTTTTTTAATATTGATGTGGTATTGTTACTTCATGTAATAATGATAATTTGAGTATCGGTGGTTAGTGTAAGCATCCCATTCTCATGCTTTATTGTATTGTTGGTAGTATTTTTTTTTTGTTAATAAATTGTACTTAGAAAACTTTAAAAAATATTTTTCCTCTCAGAAAAAAGGGTCATTGGATGCTGAAGAGCAAGTCGGAAAGGCTCATGCACGGGCTGTTGAACTACAGAATCAGGTTACTTATAAATCAGCCAGTAGACGTGTCTTGTATGATCATTATTCTATAGTGCAGACTCAGAAATTCTTTATGCAGGTGGACAAGCTTAAAGGGGAACTAGAAACACAAAACAGGGAGAAAGGGAACTGGGAAACTCGAGTGCTTGGGTTAGAGAAAAAAGTTAATGACTTGAACTCAAAATTAGAAGATGTAAGTTTTACGTTTACCAACAGTTCTGTTTTAACTAATGTGCCTTAAGTGCACCTCATTATTGTTTTGTCCTTGAAACTAATTCTTAATCACTATTTACAGTTGATTTTTGTGTAAATACTTTAGTATTTTAATTACACATACGCTGAGTTATATTCCCTTTTCATTTCACTTCTTCTTATCAATGTGTCTTGTAATAAAATTGATCTGTTCTAGGAGTAACTTATGCACCTTCACATGTTCAATTCTCACTTGGGAAGGGCATACGTTAATCTCCATTTTCTACATATCTACCTTTTGGTTTTCACATGCCATTCTCCTTTTTCCTCCTTCGTTTGTATTGTAATTGTAACTGTATTCTTCTAGCTTTGAACAACATGCTATACTTCTCTGCCATTTTTTTTTTTGCATGTATAGTCCTGCCTATCTCTACTTTTCGCTTTCCACTATGACTTAATACATGCTGCATGTTCTGATTCCTCAAATTTGGAAATTTTCGTAGAGTTTGCTTTGAGATGTTAATGGTGTAGAAGTTTTTATGCTATTATTGACAAGCAAGTGTGAATTAGGATATTCTCTTGGTTGGAGGCTTCAGTAGGTCTTAGAAACTGACGTTGTCAGCTCAGCAGGCAGCCGCACCTTGCTGTTTGTTTATTTTCATGTCGAATTTACTATTCATTTTTTTGGTGCATGCTTTTGGATTATGCTTGGCTTGACGTGCATCCATCCTCTGATGTATTGTGTATTACTGCAGCATCATCATTAGCTGCTAGTTTTTTGTTAGTTGGTATGATAATAATATCTACTGCTGTTGGCTTTAGGTTGATCCGACTCTCATTTTAGATCTAAGAGAATTACTATTGACCTCTATTACATCCAAAAAACGAATTAAAAACCATTATGTCATTATTTTTCACTAGTTACCTGCAGTACTGTAATCGATTTTCAAGTTATTCAAATATATTCTGTCTAAGGATGACGCGGTGACCTGAGTAAGTACATTTTTCACAGCTTCAAAAGATAAACCAGGAGCAGAGGACACAGATTCAGAAAACGGAGCGTGCTCTTAAAGTTACCGAGGTATGTCAGTGCATAGATTTTCTTGTCTATGTTGTGCAGGAGGATGCTTGATGATATTTTTGATTGAAGTCTTTTGATTTTCACCTAATATTCTTGTTTAGGAAGAGATGGTGAAGGCTAAGTTTGAGGCAGCTGTCATAGAAGCAGAGTTGAGTTCGGTAATAATTCACCAATTCAGTTTAATACCTACATCATTATATCATTCTTACACGTCTGTAAATTTTGATAGCCGTTTTAGCTATCGATGTTGTGCCTTCTATCTGAAACTGAAGAATATCTTTAAATTCTTTGTCATTTTATTTATAGCCTTGCAAAATTGCGAATAGTTTATTTGTTGGTTAAGGTTTTAGGGTTGTTATTGAAAATGTCAACATATTATTAACAATAATGCAGGAAAATAAATGAATTAATTGGATGTCATTGCTTAGCTTTTAGGCTCAGTCTTTGTGTGACACTGCTATTGCTTACTGATTGGATTGGATAAAATCGTGAGAAAATAGCTGAAGTTGCATAGCAGTTGAAAAGATGAATTGTGTATGTATAAAAAAGTTAAGGTGTATGCTAATAAAAATAAATGCACAAAAATTAAAAATTAACTTAAAGTTCAATTGAGTGGAGGCTTGTTGGAGATGGCAGGACGATGTAGGCTGCATCATGCAATCATGGCAATGACAGAAGGAGTTGCGATTGTCGATCCACAAAATTCGACTATGTAATGGTGATTTTGTGCTGCCATAGCAGCCATTTAAGTACACTGCTTTGTGATAAACATGGTGGCTCTTACCTTGGACTGGAGTTCTTAAATTGATATTTTACTAAAAAACACTGGAAGTCAAATAAAAGTGAATTGTTCATATTAAATACTAAATAAAATATTATTTGAAAATACTTGTACATGTAAATACTGGTTTCTGATGGATTGTTTTTCAATTAAATTCAGTGCTTAATGAACAGAATCCATAAGCTCGTAATAACTTAAACTTCATAAAATAGAAAAGGTAAAATCTCATCATTCATCCTTGATTTGATCCTTTGAGTGCGGTTACCATGGAGAGCTACGTTTACAAGCTGCACTTAGACATTCCTTTTTTTTTTTTGACAAACACTCCAAACACCAACAAGGGACAATAGAAAGCTCTAACCATTGTTGGACACTGTAACTCAAACTAGCATGTGATTCAATCATAGAAATCTCAGCCTTAGTATGTTTAAGTCGGACTCATGGATAACCAGGGTGAGACTGAACATATGTTGTGGGGTTTTGATGTAGCTCCAAGCAATTGCCAAACTACCATTAGCCTTGCTTAGATCCAGTTTAATATCCACGACCTGGAACTCCTAGTCTAAATACCCTTCAAAATATGAAAAATATAAAATCTTTAGTCCAAAACGAGTTTCCGTTATCTTATTATTTTGAAAGGCTTTGTGTAATGATTTCACCATATTCACTTCAAAGATGAAAAACTTAAAATCTTGAGTTCAAAACGAATGTCCATAATCTTAATATTTTGAAATGGATTGTGTAATGTAATGATTTCACCATATTTTTCTTCTCATATCTAATATTTTCTATTTCATTGTTAAATTGTAGCATTTTAGATTTTTCCATTTTTTGTTTTTGTGTGCAGCAGTTGCCTATTGCTACAAATAATGATAGATTAGAAAACCATTTCATTTTCTCGAAATTTTTTATCATATTAATAATTATAATTACGTACATTGAATTGATTCATACTGGTGTTATAATCAGACACGTGGTGCTTGGCTTCCACCTTGGCTTGCTGTACACTATCTTCATAGTAAGGTGAGTCTATGTTGTATCTCCTCTGATGTTTTTTGTTAGAACATCCTTCCTCACCAGTTCTGAGAGTTTTATTTTTCTACCAGTCTTGTGTTGAGACTCAATGGAACAAACATGGGAAACCTGTTTGGGAAAAGGTTGCTCAAAAGGTAATGTTATTGGTTTTCATTTTGGCTATTATTCTTCTGTTTCTGTTATTTCTTTTGATATGTTAATCTATTACAAATACACTTTATTTTGTTTCTTTATCACTGCAAGCGAGTCATATTGGCTTCTTTATTTAAATGTCTTTCCTATTTACTCTAGGCCCTAGATAAAAAGGCACAAGCTGGAAAGTGGGCTGAACCTCATGTGGAAACCATTAAAACTGTAAGACCTCCATTTACTTAGTTTTTTGCTATGCTTTGCTGGGCATGTTTCTATTTACGTGTAACGAATAGCCAAAAAGCATGCACTTCTAACCAGTGGTATACTGCAATTTTAGTTCATATGGACTTTTTTCCGAATTGTCTCTTTTTAACCCTCGTCCTGATAATATGGTAATTGGTATCCATTTGCGATCTTCCTCGTTTGTAAATATCTTTTCATTTTCTTAAATACCCAGCCAAACTAAATTGTTTTCATTTTCACTTCCTCCTTTTTCAATTGAAGAAATGGGTCCCTGCTGTAAAAGAACAGTGGTCTGTGGTGAAAACAAGTGCTGAACCGCATTTGCAATTATTGACCACAAAAACTGTTGAAGGTTATGAGGCTACCAGGAAGACAATTTCTCCCCATTTAAGCAAGGCAAAAGAATTTGTTCATCCTTATTATCAGGTACAAACCTCTTCAATTCATCCTTTTGTTTTGTTGGTTTTGTTTGCAGATGTGTCTCTTAAGACTACTGGTTGACAGGAAGCTAGAAAGTTCAGCAAGCCATACATTGATCAGATTGCTGTTGCAGCTAAACCTCATGTTGATAAAGTACAAGTGGTTTTGAAGCCCTACACAAATAAAGTTGTTCATAGTTATGGGAAATTTTTGGAATCAGCTACTACATATCATCGCCAGGTTTCAGTCTTCATCTTTTATTAGAATATTGGAAAAGTTGTGCAATCCTTATTGTATTTATCATTATTTATTGCTGATATAAATACCTTTATTGTTTTTTTACATGTTTTCCTTTTGCACCGTATTTAAAAAAAAAAATTGAAAAATGTAAACTTTGGTTGGACAGTCTGTCTTTTGAAACATGTAGTTGTCCTTTCCTTCAATCATTTTTAGTTGTTAAAGAAAGGAAGTATATGCAATAACTTATTGCTTGCCATTATTTATTGTTGATATCGGCACTATTATTGTTTTTTAATTGTATTCCTCTTGCACTGTATCTACTTATGAGAAAATTGGCAATATAAACTTTGGTTGGCAGTATGTATTTTGAAATTTATAGTTGGTCATTCCCGTAATCAGTCTTAATTGTTTTTTTTTTAAAGGAAGAAATATAGTCAAAGGAAACTTCATATATTTGCATATCAGAATTGTGAAGAAATAAAAGAAAGAATTTGTATTGGTTTTATGAAATTTACTAAAGGTGTTTGAGTCAGATTAAAGCCCTATATATATTATCAGGACTCAGTATGATAGAACTAAAGAAAATAAAGGAGAAATTATTCCTTTACATATATTTATTCATTTAAGGGGGCAATGTGAGTGGTATGCCCGAATGTTATCAACCAAACTGATCATTGACTCAGTAAAGGCTTTTAGGTTAATGGGTCATTGGTCAAACTATTGAATCACTATTTGAACCACATGAAGTGGTGCATATAAATTTTTTTAAGTTTGTATTAAAAGTATTATGTTTTTGTGTTAAATAAAAATCTTACTCTATTAATAATATTTATTTTAAAGTGCTTGTGTCTTGGATTGAAGTCCTATTACTGAAACTTTGAAATAAACTTCTGTCAAAATTTCCTCACTTAGCAGGATAATACACTACCCATCAAGTAAACATTTAAATTGAATTAGTAACAGTGTGCACAGTGCTAGACACAACGTGAAAATTCAAGAATTCAGACCTGGGAGATTGTACAATATTGACGGGTGAGCTGTAGTCAAGAGAATTCACTTTGCATGCTAACAGAAGCTTCATATTTTATAATAAAAAATCATTAAAAAATAGAGTGTTTTGTGTTGTTTTAAAATTCAACATGATTAGTTCAAATAATTTAATCACACTGTCATCCATAGAAAACTATCTGGTACATACTTCTTTGATCTGGTTCAAATAGCATTTCCAATCCAAAACTTCCTTGGACTCTACCAGTTTTTTGTCTAACTGGTCAGATTGACTGGTCTGAGCCAATTTTATTCATACTGGTCTGCTCATTTCATAGTCTTTTTACTGTTACATGCTAAAACATTTTACTTTTGCTCGGTTGTACTGTGATTTAGACATAGAAGTGATGTTGCTGAAAACAGATTTGGTTAGAAGTGTTTCTAAAGTTCCTTTCATTTACCATAATGTGATTCTGACCTAAAGCTAGGATTTTAATATCTTGATGACATACTCACTGAAATTCATTTTAGTTCCATGATCTGAAATGACTTTTTCATCTGATTTTACTACATTATTAAAGAGTTCTGTTGACTTTTCTAATTATTGTTTAATTAATAAATGCTGAAAATTTTGCCTAGTATTGAAATTAGGATTAATTGCATTTTCATTTTGGTATTGATTTTTTTTTTAATGAAGGTCCAAGCCACTGTCCAAGAGACACTGAAAAAGCATGAGCTCACCAGACCTCTTGCTACTAAAGAGTTAGAATGGTTTGCGGTAATGAATGATTTTCTGTCCTGATAAGTATTAATGAAATTGTCAGTGATTAGGTGAAATGACTAATATTTTGACAATTTTGCAGGCCTCGGCTCTTTTGGCTCTACCCATTATTTTTGTGGCTAGAGTGTTTTCAGCTGTGTTCTGGTCGATCTTTAATCTTTTTCAAAATTTGTGCACTAATTTGCTTTATATTGATCTGTATGTTCTCTTTACACATATATTTGGAACTTAATAGTAATGACTTTTATTGTCTGCAGCGATAAAAAAGTGAATAAACCTTCTCGAAGTGGAAATAACCATGCACGACGCAAAGCTAAACGAAGCCATCCAGACAAGCACACATCATGAAGTTAGGTCCTGCCTTATTTTTTTTGTGGAAAGAAATTTAGGTATGCTATTCTATTCCATTATTGATTTGATTCGGGATATCTTCAATAACTAATATTATTTTATGCAGGATTCATGATGTAAAAGTGTGCTTTGATATCTTTACCATAAACTGCTATATATAATGCTTGTGTGGCTCAATTTGCTTTTAAATTTTCGTGAGGAACATTAGTTGTTACTGAGTAGGATTCATGTGGGTTCTACCAAACGATGTGAGTTCTACTCCTTATTAACAGGTCCCACATTATTTTTATCCAATAATAGAGTTGTTCTTTGGAAAATAATGTTTGATTCGTAGCTGTGTATATGGAAATCCTTTTGTTGGTGAAGGTAAAACTTGCTTAGGTGATCTTTATACCAAAAAAGATATCAGTTTCTTGCTGTTGGGTGTTGTACAACAAAATAAGTTGGCATTTCTCACTTTTTATGAGGGTCTTCTTTCCTCTGTGATCTTATTTTCAAATGACTGCCTATTTTGATTTACTTGAAAGATTTTAGAGCTAAAGGGGAAATAATTTTGGGTGTCTAACTGAACATCCATGAAAAGCTTTGTTTAGTCTCTTATACAAAACGACCTTGTTGGGAATTGATATATTTCTCAGAGGAAAGCAAACATGGTCACTCATTTACTAAATTATGAGATTAGAAAGAAGCTTCTCTAAGCTGAAAACCTGATGCCCCCTGCTATCTTAATTGTATTTGATAATTCCGTCTTATTGAAGCCTTATTGTTTGAAGGTTTATCTTCCTTCCGTATCAAATGGTTTTAACATGAGAAAAACGAGTGTCCTATTTTCCGCCTCAGAGTCTGCTCCTATACATGTTGTGGTGTTCAACAACTTACTGGGATATAATACAGTTGTTTTTTGAAGATCAGGGTAAAACATTAGTGTCATAGATTGTGTAATTGGATGTAGTAATTAAGTTAATGTGCCTAGGTCATGTTAATTTATGTGACTTCATTTTGAAGGGCCAAACCGATCTGAATGACCGCCATAATGTTTTTTCTCATTTGGAGATACATCACTGTAGATTGAGTTCCTAATCTGTGGAACTAGTATTGAAAATACTTCTTTGGACGAAGTGTTATAAAGGAGATCTGTGACCTAGTAGTGGAAGCGGGATAGGGTAGGTCAAAATGGGGGAAAAGTAGGGATTTCATCCAAGGATCAAATAAATCCCTGAAGGTACTTGGTCACTTTAGTTAAGGCTCTTTTGGTAAACTGCTTTTTTCTTAATTTAAGTGAAGCAAGTGAAGAGCATCAAGAGTCTTAGACTTTAGAAGATCCATCGTGTGCTCAAAGCTATTTGAATTTGGTAATTGATATGAAGAGATCATGAGGTCAAAAAAAAGAAAGAAAAGAAAAGTGGAATTCACTTGATGACATTGTGTGAGCATCGTATTGGTAGAAAACCACATAGTTTATTAAAATTGGTCCTCTACTGCTTAAGGATGTTCGCAAGTCTTCTCAAATTCCTTCTGTTAGATGATTTAACATCTGGATGGTGGTGTTGTTAAGTATATATTTATCATTTTGAGTGTCATAAATGGAAGCGTGAAACTATGATACATTTCAGCGTTTCTTATTTCCAGAAGAGGTTTACATAATGACTTTTTGTTGAGTAAAGTTGTAAAGTGAATTGAAAATAATTGTTTGGATGAGACAAAAAATGACTTTAATATATGAAAGAGAGTATTTGTGGAAAGTTAAAAGGGAGAATATGAAAGAGAGATGGAAAATTAAAAGGGAGAATAGTTGTTGAAAAATAACAACTTAAATATTTTCAAAAAAAGCCTTTTGCAGATTTTAGTTATTACTCAAATATAAACTGAAATTAAAATATTTTTTTTTCATCTCGACTGTTAAAACTTTAAAAATCCATCTTTTCCTAAAATGTTTTCACTGTTTATTGTGCAGTCGAGTTTTTTACATCATTTTGCTTTTCATTAATCATATTGAAATTTGATGCTGAAAAAAAATACTCTTTCTGTTTATTGCAGATAATTTTTCCTGTTCGCATGGGCTTATGGTGGAGGGCTATATCTTTCATGTCATGAGGGGTTTTGAATATTTGCTTCTCTTTTTCTGGGTGAGGTAACTTTAGGATGTTTCACTGTAGAGTTGGGCACACACTATGTTTAGGTGTTTATGTATTGCCTTGTCACTGTGTTATATTTGTTATTATACTTGGCACTCCCATTTCCTGTCGGTTTTGTTTTCTTAAATTCTTGACAGTAGAAGTGTTTCCACTTTATGTATGTTCATTAGAATCAGAAATTTTCTTTCTATCGCGGTTTTCTGCGGAACGTTAAATTTAGAAACTAATTCATGAGTTATTCTTCATTGGAACTTACTGACTTCCCCCCTCCTTTTCTGTGTACGTTTCTTGAACTATCGTTTGAAAATTATTAAAGAGTAGTTTAAATATCATATTATGTACTCCCGTACCGAGAACTAATTGACTTGTTAAATGAGGAATTTCTGTTTAAGTTAAAAGTGCTTGAGAGTTTCCCTATTGAAACTTTAATGTTTATTCTCGTGGAGAATCTCTCAAGGGATCTTAAAAGCGTGTGATTTAATTTGATTTGGTTTAGGAGAAAAATATCATGGTTCAGTTCACGAATTATGGATCAAATGGACCCGGGTAATATGTACCTGAATTTCTTTATTTTTTTTACCAATGGTAGAAATACCCAGTAGTTGTTAATTAAATTGTAAATCATGCTTTGCATTTTACATAGGTATTTCAGTATCTACGGGATCATTTACCCTAGTTCGAAATCTATTGCATTACAATGTTTATTTTGAAGGTTAAGTTTTATGAAAAGAGTAGTAGGAGATGAAATGAGTCGTGTCAGATTACTAGTGAAACCATGTACATAAATGTTCTGTTCCAAATAAAAAATTGGAAAAATAATATACAACTCGCTAAGATGCATGTAACAGATGGTGCCCTGCCTGAATCTCATCAAACACAATTGTATATAATATAACCAGCGTGATGGAATCTGTTGCATTATATAAAGGGTCGAGGTTGCTTTAATGGATGAATGTTGGCGGACTAAGGTGGAACTGGAGAAACAAATGAACTTAACTGTAAATGAATTGAACATAGACTGCTTTGGTTTATCAGTTTTGGAAGATCGGAAGGTGCTGTTTCGTTTTCTAACAACACTGATCATGCCATGAGTGGCTTGATTGAAAAAGCTTGAAATTTGTTAGCGTAGTCTTATTTTCATTCTTGGTCTGGAAGTCTCTGTTTCTTTAGGTGGAAAAGGAAAATGGGTAAGCTCTTATTTCTTGTTCGCATTATCTTGTCATTCTATATACTAATTTATGTGCTAACTTAATTGACCTTCTATCACTGGCTAGACAAATGCTTATTTGGTCATTGAAGCTTACAACACGTAATAGTACATACTACAACTTAATTTGTTAGTTCATACTGTTTAATTAAAGGTTTAATAGCCAATTTAGTCCCCACTTTGGTTGAAAAATCTCAATTTAGTCCCTCGTTATAAAAGTGTTTTACATTAGTCCTAACTTTTAAAATAGTGGGTCAGATTGGTCCCTTTCGTTAAATATAAGTTAACGAAATTAATGGATGATGATGTGACACAGCTTAAAGCTGATGTGTTAGATTGGTCCCTCGTTAGTTTTAAGTTGTGTCACATCATCATCCATTAATTTTGTTAACTTATATTTAACAGAAAGGACCAATCTGACCCACTATTTTAAAAGTTAGGACTAATTCAAAACACTTTTATAACGAGGGACTAAATTGAGATTTTTCAACCAAAGTGAGGACTAAATTGGCTATTAAACCTTAATTAAAAAACTTAGAAAATTAATGCCCCATATATGTGACAAGCAGGTTAAACTTAATGGTTGGCCTGAAAAATCAGCACTATGAGGTTTGGGTGTTTCTTCCTACACCTCCAAAGTTCTTCTTGCACCTCCAACTTTTCAATAAAATATCAAAACTAGCCTTGGTTAAAAATGTTTTCAATTTAGGTAATTCATTTTAACTTTTTCAGTGATTTAATAAACTCACACACTCACCTACCATGACACAACTCTGTTTGTAAATCTAGATTCCTGTACCTTCAAAAGTTCTTCTACATTTTCACTCTACCATGACACATTTTTTCTTCTCCATTTTTTTCTCTACTCCGTCCATGAAAGTTGAAAGGTTGGTTGAACTTTAATCGGATTTTTGCTTAAGTGTTTAAATAAATTTTGAAATCCGTTAAAACAAAGTTTTCATCAACAGAATTTAAAATGGATTTTGAAATTTATTAAAATTTTCAACGATTTTGAAATCTGTTTACATTTCTAAGTTCGACCATCATTTTCATACTGTTTGAACTTTTTTTCTTTTTTGCATTTCATGTTTTTAATTTCTTTAGATATCTTTTACTTGTTTTAATTTAATAAAATATATTTTAAATTATTAAAATATTAATATATTAAATTATATCAAAATATTAAATTAAAGTAAATATTTATTAAATTTTAAATTAAAAAATATATTAAACATATTTAAAAATCCGTTAACACTTCTATATAAAATTAACATATTAACGTATGTTAACGGATTTCCAAATTTATTTAACATATTTTCAATTTTTTTAATTTAAAACTTAATAAATATTTAGTTTTATTTAATATTTGTATGTAACTTAATATATTGATATTTTAATATATTAAAATATATTTTATTAAACAAAAACAATTAAAAGATATTTAAAAAAATAAAACAAAATATGAGAAAAACAAAAATAAAAAAGTTAAAATAATTGGAATATGTTAAATGAGTTTGAAAATATGTTAGAGGTGTCAACTAATTTTAAAATTCGTTAGGTTCTTTAATTAGATATCAAATTTGTCGAGTGTTTTAATCGGATCGAAATTTGATTAGTTTTGAAATTTATTGGATTTATAATTTGAGTGAATTTTTTAATTGGATTTTGAAATTGATTGAGTTACTAGAGTTTAAAATTTCTTCAAGTGAAAGGAGATACATCATGTTAAAACAAAAGGGTGGTAGGTGAGTGGAGTAATTATAAGAGAGAAAAAAAATTTAGTCTTCTCAAAAGAATATTTTAGAAATTTTGAAAGGACAGGGAGAAACTTTGGAGGTGCAAGAAGAAATACTCTTGAGGTTTTGATGGAAAAAAGACTTCGGGCCATTAAAAATGTAGGCTTAACTATTGTTTATGTTAACTTTATTTTTTACAGAGCGATTCGGATAACTTGTTTAATATAAAAAATTAAAATTAATGTTGTGTGTTTAAGTATTTTTTTAGGTATCGGGAATTATGAGCTAGTTGGTTTAAAGAGAGACATAAGAAGTTCTTGCTGATTAAAAAAAGCAGTTTCTATCATGTCAACCAACGTTTATGAATATGTTTAAATATAAATATATTAACTCAATCTGAATATTTTTATGATTCTGTCAACTTGATTGATATAAAATATTAAAAATTAGTCTGAATATGTTTCCTGCAAAGTAAATTACTTTTACTTTTTAGATATATATATATATATATATATATATAAACATGTGCTATAATTATTATATGCTTATTAAATTTGGTTCCTATTTTTATATTAAAAAAGAAATAAAAAAAAATAAAACAATAAATTTATTTTTGAAATAATTCAACCAATCTCTTTAATCTACCGATCTATAATAAATAACCTGATTATTTCTTTAATCTCAATGACAATTTAATGGGGTTAAGTGTACCACCAAATAACAATCACTAATGGAGTGGGTTAGGTTCCTTCATCTTGCACCTCCATTTTTTCTTCCGTCATCCCCATAAAATTTAAAATTCCCATTTTACTCTTATTTCCCTTTATGTTGCAAAATTGTCTAGATTAAATTCAAATCCAATAAAATAGATTGAATTTAAAATCTAAATCAATGTTAACTCTTGGATTTTTTCAATTTTAATTTAAATTAAATCACTATTATATTCACTTTAAAATTATAATAAATTTCAACATGAGATCGACCTAATTGATAATCAACCTAATTCAGCTTAACATAATCTTAAACGAATGTAGGCTCAATCTACCAAACACAAACCCAAGAATTTGACTTGGATAGATATGACTCAGTAAGTGTCTTGATTCCACATGCGGCTGACTCAACATGGACCAACTAAACTTAGTTTAATCTGGATTTAGGTAAGTCGAACACAAACTAATTCAGTTAGACCTCGACCTAGGCCTACTTAGTTCTATCTAGGGCTTTGTTGATTGTGCTCAACGTGGTCTTAATTAGACTAGTCTGTACCCGATCTTGATTGGACTAAAAACACTCTAGGTATAGCTAAACTTGGCTGGGTCAATCCTAACTAGAATGAACATAGACCTATCCCAACGCAACTAATGATATTCACTCGCCTCAACCAAGGCCTAGATGAATTCATCTTCTTGACTTGAGCCCAATCCAATTCGTTTCAACACGGGTCAAGGTCGACTTGTTTTGACCTAGTGATGGATTGACTTCTCAACTTGAACTTGGGAGGCTATACTTAACTTGGATTCAGGGTAACTCGACTCGACTTAAGTCTAGGTTTACTCAGTTTGACTTGAGCCCAATTCGATTCGGTCTTGATCAGGCTAAGCCCGACATTGTCTTGAATGTGTGGGTTCAAGCTTCATCTTAATGATGCGAGACTAACCTAATCTTGATGGGAGCGAGACCTGAGTTGACTTTAGCTCAACTCGACTAAATATGGATCGACCTTAAATCATGATGAACTTGGACACACCTCTGCTCAACTTAATGTGGACTCATCCTAAGTTGACTCGACTTAGAACCATGTTAATTTAGATTGACTTGAGTAAGGATCGACTCGACTCAACTTAAGTCAGGATCGACTCAACTCAACCTAAACTCAGGTCAACTTGACTTTACCTAAGCTTGGATTGATTAAGTTTAACTTGAGTCAGACCAACTTGATTCGAGTAAACCCAATTTGAGTTGAATTAACTTTTATCCATATATACTTAATTCAATCTTATATGAGTCCGATCTAATTCTACTTAATTTGGATTTAACTTCATCTAGTATTGCATAACTTGAAATGACGTAAGCACACATTAAATTTTGGATTTTCAAAATTTAAAATATATTTAATCTATATCCAATCTAATTAAATTGATTAGTCTTAATAATAAAAAGTATAAATTTAGATTTGAGATAAATCTATTTAAATGAATTGAAAATAATATAGATTTGGATAATTATAAAAGGTACGTATATAATAAATTTGTATTTTTTTCACTCATATATAGTTTATCTACAACCGTCATACTACAATATTAGTCTTGGTTTGCAAATAAACTTAAAAGAACAGAAAAAAAAAGAGAAGAAAAACGACTCACAAACACATACTTTGATTGATGGAAAGTAATTTTCTCTTGTGAATCCATTGCATATCTTGTTTTCATTTCTTCTGTGAAAGATACAATTCAAACAATTCAATAATTGCGAGAACTACATGTGAGAAATTGAAAAAAGGCCATTAACATGATATAGACTAAAGTATGTAAATTGAAAAGTACATTTAAACATAACATTATCATGCCAGCCGACCAACGTTTATGTAAGCCTATAACAAACTTTAATATACGAGACTTTTTTAAAATTTACTAAAGTAATTTTAATATTATTTTATTCCTTCTAACTTTTAAGAATTAAAAGTTCTAATCTGCTTAACATTTTTTAGTCCTAGTAAAAGGCAAAGAGTTATTTGCTCTAAGAATTATTTACCTAAATCTGAATTATGTTACAATGAGTAGAAAAATTTAATCAAATCTATAAAATTTNTATGTAAATTGAAAAGTACATTTAAACATAACATTATCATGCCAGCCGACCAACGTTTATGTAAGCCTATAACAAACTTTAATATACGAGACTTTTTTAAAATTTACTAAAGTAATTTTAATATTATTTTATTCCTTCTAACTTTTAAGAATTAAAAGTTCTAATCTGCTTAACATTTTTTAGTCCTAGTAAAAGGCAAAGAGTTATTAGCTCTAAGAATTATTTACCTAAATCTGAATTATGTTACAATGAGTAGAAAAATTTAATCAAATCTATAAAATTTTTAAAATGAAAGTATATTAGTTTTGAACAATAGAAGCCTGGTTATCATTATCGATATTCATATATGTTAATATAAAAATTTTTGAAGTATAAAACTTCTCCAATTAAAAATATCGAGTCTTGAATTTCATATCCGTTTGTCAAACTGATCAACATATTCTTCAGCAATAACAATACAGCGAATTCTGTATTATCGTGTGAGACGTTCCAAACTTTATACAAAATTAATTATATTTGAAAAAATGGACACCACAGCAATAGTAGTTTAGAACAGATTTACGTAAAACTATATTGTTAATAAAATAATTTAATTTTAGTTCGTATTATTTTTAAATGCTCCAATTTGGTGTTGATATTTTAAAAAAAATACAAAATATAAGCTACCTACATGACCGCCATACACGTAAATTATTGTTTGCTATGAAGCTCATATATGGACATAAATAAGACTCGAAACTAAATTGAAAAAATATAGGAAACGGAACATAACATGTATATACATATTAATTTTAAACTGTCAATTAAAATGAATCCAATCTATTTATTCAAAAAGCGAAAAGTATAGTGATCATATAATATTTATTCCTTATATTTACAATCATAATATAAACTAATTTATGTAATAAATTTACAAGTTTATGAGCTTTTTAAAAAATAATATATATATAAAAAAAACAATGAAATGAAGAAGTTAAGCAAATAATCAGGGACAAGTTATGCAGTAATGTAACAACATATAGTGTTTCTGATATTAGAGAAAATACGAGTAATCGATAGACAAACATTAAAAAAGTTACTTGATTGAAATGATACACGATCAATATGACAGCGGTTGTCATTTAACCGCAGGAAACTTGGAAAGACGAGAAAAAGCAGAAAAGCTGATGGAACTAAAGTCATAAATAGTATCAGAATGAGCCTAATAGACTAAAAGAAGGTCTCTTCATCGGAATTTAGTAGGAAGGCCAGTAGTTGTCTAGATCCATGCAGTGGTCCATACTCATGAACCTATTCCCTTGAGAATTCATGTTATTACTCATTTCTGATCCATAACCTACATCTGCACCAAGAGATCCGGTTGTCATCATGCTGGAATTGACATCAAGAACTTGAGCCATTGTATGAACAGGAGCAGAAGAAGCTTGCATTGGTCGAAAAATGGGTTGTGTTGTGGTTGTTGCTCCTCCTCCTCCTCCTCCCAGATTCAAATTCAGTCCTGAAATGGTGAATCCTGCTGATGTAGGGTACCCCAATTGGGATTGCATTGGTTGATTGACACTACTTGTTGATCCTCCCCCTCTTAAAACCCTAGAAAGTTCACCTAACTCAACACTGTTCATGTAGTTCCTTCCATAAAGGAAATGAGCAGCAGGATCTCCCAATTGCATCACTGGTGGCTGCATAATATTTGGCCCTATTTCTAAGCTGTAAGGATTCACTGCTCTTGCATGGTTGGAAGAAGGGAACTTTTTTGCTCCCCCACTCTTCTTGAATACCCTGCAAACCACCCATTCATCCTGCTGCATGTATGGAAATAGATGTTACATTAGTTCATCTTCTTTTTCTCTTTGTCACAAGTTATTACTACCTTAAAATAGTATAGATCAATATAATTTAGTTTTCTAAGATCAGTTGAAGAAGCAAAATATGTTTAATATATCATATATTTACCCTAGTAGTTCTGAAACTGGATTTTGAGTGAATGCGGTATTCATGCATGACCCAGTTGCTTTTCTCTCCTCTTGGAGCTCTTCCTTTGTAGAAAACTAAAGTCTTCTTCATGCCGATCAATTCTGATGTTCCACTGTTCAAGATCTCCTTGTCTTTCCCTGTTGTCTTCCAATACCCTGTGTTTGTTGCTCGATTGGTTCTCACACCCGTCGGGTATTTACGGTCTCTCAGACTGAAGAAGTACCATTCTTTTTCACCCATCTTAGCTTTCCCTATTTCATAAAAAGATAACATGAATAAGTACACATACAGAACAATTGCTTTGCCTGTCTTTTCTTAGAAAATGGAGAATTATATATAGACATTATAATATATATATATAGAACGTAAATCTTATCCATATCACAAGAAAGACAAACGTCTACCTTAATATATGGAATACTTAGATTAATTATGGATGCATCAATCTGATGCGTGTATTGAAAAGAAACCCTAGATTTAATGTTCTGCTGACTATTTTGAAAAGATAAATAGAAAGCAATATTGAAAAAAGGATATGAAATTAACATTCATATCTATATCTTGGTACATGAGCAAGTTTGAATGAAGAAAGAAGAAACCCAAAATCGAATAAAAAAATTAATTTCTGTAACTATAAAGCAGGCATGCACAGAAACTAATCTGAAATAAACAGAAGATAGTTAATCAGATAACAAAACATATGTACCTGGAAGCTCCCATGGCTCACTTTTGTTGAGATCTACATCAGTTATTGCTCTGCCTGTGAAATTAGAATCCGATATCTTATTTAGGAGATAGCAAGTAACAAGTTCTTCATCTGTAGGATGAAATCGAAATCCTGGTGGTAGGGTTTCCTCTTTTGCATGAGTTCCTTCCATTTCTATATCCTTTCCCTCCTTGATAATGGCTTCCTTTTCCTTCTGTACCACACAAAGAGTGACATGATATGATACACATGACAGGAGAAAGCTTTGCAGAAACTTGAAGAAAGTTCAATGAAAAGCTGTGTTATACGATTCCACTACCCAAAAAGAGTTATAGCATACCCTTTGGATAAGAATAAATCACAAAGACTTTGAAAATTAGGAACTGTTAGATGAATAAGTTAAGCAGTTACTTACTTGCATGGAGAGAAAGTCCTTGAATCAGGTTTTGATGCTTTATACAAGTTATATGGTGCAGTTGGAAACGAAACAATAACTTCAGGGATACTGCAAAAAAGGATAAAAGAGATTAATAAGGGGAGAGAGGTTTCTACTAATCATCATGAATGAAGAGTAGGGAATTTAAGTAGAAAAGGTAAGGAAGAAAAACGTGGAGAGTGTGTTTCTGAAGCTTTCACCAAATTTTGGTCTTCACCTTCAAGTTGCAGATAGTGCAGTAGCTGTAAATACCAAGAAGGATATTACGACTTCAATTAGAATAATGACAATCTTGACCTCACCACTAATACTTTTCTTTGCTGACTGCTTTTACAAAGATTATTTTTTATAAGGTGCAATACCTAATGGAGATAAATAAAGATAATAAATATGTGTGAATCTGGTGATGATTTACACTGTAAAAGAATAGTGTATATAATGTGAAAAAAGTAAATAAATATTAATGAAGGTTTATATATATAATCACACTTTAAGTTGAGTATACAAGTTAAGAAGTAATTAACATTATCTATTAATTGTTATATTTTAAAATATCATAATATCTATTAAAGGAACATTTGCTTTAAGATATTGGCTATTGAAAAATAATGTACGAAGGAGATAATAACGGGCGAGAGTTGAAATTTGTAAGAATTGAATGGTTTTAGAAAAAAAAAAGATAAAAACATTAAATGTATATATTTTGAGCAAAATGCTTGTATTTAATTGTAAATTTAAAGTAGTAGTAGTGCTGATTGTTGATTAGCATATTTTCAATTATCTAATTATCATAAATTAAAAATTTTAAAAATAATACTTATAATAAAAAAAGGAATTTTGAATTTCATATAGTTGGTAGACACTTTGATAAGGCGTATTGATTTGAGAGGCGATGCATGGGAGTGATTGATCATGCACACGTGACGTGGTGGCCCCTACTTTCTGAGAATGATTTGCTGCGACCAACAGGGTCGAGCCACGTTCTAGAAGATCGCAGGTTGTATACAAATAAGAACAATGAAAAAGTCAAAATGCACGAGGAAACCAAAGACAAAGACAACATGAACCAAACTCTGCATATTATATATAAATTAATTACGTATTACGTATTTCATGGAACCCCGTTTCTCTTCTCCCTCACCATTTTCCAGAAATCCCTGTCCTTCTCCTTCCATTTATCCCTTCATTTTCCACATGCCATTTCTCATTCTCATTAACTACACTAATTACATGCATTTGACGGAAACACAAACTCACTTAATGATCCCAATATAAATGTTAGTTAAGATGATAGTCACCCAGCTCATGAAGAAAATGTGTTTCTCATAAACTATAATTATTAATCAAATTTCAATTAATCAATTTGTGTTAATTTTGCTTGTGCTAAAAGCATATCGCGCTAGGATCCTGGGAAACGAAACCCTTTTGGCTTTATATATTGACGTTCCCTGACTCTCCTCAAATTGTAAAACACTCCTGCTATATTATATAATATTAATATCAATTTACTTTTCTCTTTTAGGTATTTATTATTAATTAGCAAACACTAGGCTACAACATAAAGCAAGATGATCTTTCTCGTATATCATGTCATGTTCTGCTGCATATGTAGCAGTTGACTAAGGTCTTCCCCTTCTGCATCATGCCGAAATAAAAGGGCGATTTTTCATGTTTTTTGAAGCAAATTATAATCTATCTAGCTTTTCTTGATTGAAGAAAGAAGAGTTATTAGGTCTTTAGACAGATAAATGATCAGAAAATTTATCTTATAAAACATTACACTTAATTATTACGAAGGGTAAAGCTTGAAGGGAAGTGCTAGATGGTATAAAGATCCGTGGCTTGACCGTTTCTTAATGTGATTATGGTTTTATTTTCCCAGTTTCTGTCCTTGTGGTAGATTTAATTAATTAGTTTGAAAAATTTGAGGAAGTTACAACCAATTGGAAATGGAAGTGTATATCTGGGACAGACTTGTACGTAAATACATGTTACACGATGAGTCAATGACCACCTGGGTCTTGGTAGGTTATTTACAGTGGAAAATACTGAGGGAAGATTCAAGTAAAATTCTTCATCTTTTTAAAAGTGTTATTCTTAAAGCATTTACATATATATTCCATCCCCACCTTCAACTTCTTGATATGAGCAATGACTTTCTAAAAATTTTAAAATAAAGAAATCATAAAACATATCATAAACGATCAAGAAACTATTGGAATACTCCCTAAATTTCTTATTAAACTCTTTTTTCTATCTTTATCAATACCTAATAAATATTGTCTGTAAAAGGGTTGGGAAAACCCAATATTTCTGTTTTGAATATACTTTTCTTGCCGATAAAGAAAATATATTAAGAAAATTTATCATATTTAAGATTAACCCCGTCTATATAATTTAGTTGTTGATCGTATCACATATTCTTAATTATAATTTAAATATAAAAATTAAATTCCATAAAGAGGCAACAGCAAAACCCTAATTAATAATGTTTTATAACTGATCAATTAAATAATGTTTTATAACTGATCAATTAAATTCCATAATGTTTTATAGCAAAACCCTAATTAATAATGTTTCTTAACTCAATTCTATATAAAAATTAAATTAATTATAAAAATTAGATTAAGATTCCATAAAGAGGCAACAGCAAAACCCTAATTAATAATGTTTTATAACTGATCATATAATAAGTTTTACATGCAGAAGTTGAATTACAAATATGTTAAATGTATATAAAGTGACCTATATTTAATTGCACTCACGATAATTCTTAGAAACAAGGACAGCCTATTGTCAAGTTAATTTCGTAATGGTTGGGGGAAACTACTTTTGTCATTGCGTAGCAGAAATATACATATGTTGCAGATACGGAATATGTACGTAAATGGATGAAAGGATAAACCCTAAAACTATAAGGAATGTGAAACAGACACCCAGTTTAGGGTTCAATTTGTACTTTATTATTATAAGTCTGATACAAAGAGAGAGATTTCACTTACAGTAGGGTAATTATAACTAATCTTGTCTTCAAATGAGAAAGTTGCCTTGCTTGTTTCATACGTAGTTTCAGTTGTCGGAAGGGCTGTGAATTATTTGTCGTCTTTTAATTGTAGATGTTTTTTCAAAGGTAGGTAGTTATGATATTGGAAAGATTCACGGTTTTAGCATTGAATTATGAATCGATAACTGTGTTTCAGAGTTCATACAATGTTATATCCAAATATCACACCCAGTTGATTACTTATCATTCACTTCAAATAATTTAGTTTTACTGTCTCCATCTTGTTTACCTGTTCTGAAAAGATCAACACTAATCTTTTCATCGAAGCTTCAAATTGAGAAAATAATTAGAATTCGTGGGTGACAGTGGTTGGTTTCTGTGTGCGAAGAGTGATGTGGGATTTAATAATGAGTTATACTGAAATTCATAATGCCACGTATATTTATCTTGTATACTCAAACTTTTCCAGTGACATTAATAGATANACTTGCATGGAGAGAAAGTCCTTGAATCAGGTTTTGATGCTTTATACAAGTTATATGGTGCAGTTGGAAACGAAACAATAACTTCAGGGATACTGCAAAAAAGGATAAAAGAGATTAATAAGGGGAGAGAGGTTTCTACTAATCATCATGAATGAAGAGTAGGGAATTTAAGTAGAAAAGGTAAGGAAGAAAAACGTGGAGAGTGTGTTTCTGAAGCTTTCACCAAATTTTGGTCTTCACCTTCAAGTTGCAGATAGTGCAGTAGCTGTAAATACCAAGAAGGATATTACGACTTCAATTAGAATAATGACAATCTTGACCTCACCACTAATACTTTTCTTTGCTGACTGCTTTTACAAAGATTATTTTTTATAAGGTGCAATACCTAATGGAGATAAATAAAGATAATAAATATGTGTGAATCTGGTGATGATTTACACTGTAAAAGAATAGTGTATATAATGTGAAAAAAGTAAATAAATATTAATGAAGGTTTATATATATAATCACACTTTAAGTTGAGTATACAAGTTAAGAAGTAATTAACATTATCTATTAATTGTTATATTTTAAAATATCATAATATCTATTAAAGGAACATTTGCTTTAAGATATTGGCTATTGAAAAATAATGTACGAAGGAGATAATAACGGGCGAGAGTTGAAATTTGTAAGAATTGAATGGTTTTAGAAAAAAAAAAGATAAAAACATTAAATGTATATATTTTGAGCAAAATGCTTGTATTTAATTGTAAATTTAAAGTAGTAGTAGTGCTGATTGTTGATTAGCATATTTTCAATTATCTAATTATCATAAATTAAAAATTTTAAAAATAATACTTATAATAAAAAAAGGAATTTTGAATTTCATATAGTTGGTAGACACTTTGATAAGGCGTATTGATTTGAGAGGCGATGCATGGGAGTGATTGATCATGCACACGTGACGTGGTGGCCCCTACTTTCTGAGAATGATTTGCTGCGACCAACAGGGTCGAGCCACGTTCTAGAAGATCGCAGGTTGTATACAAATAAGAACAATGAAAAAGTCAAAATGCACGAGGAAACCAAAGACAAAGACAACATGAACCAAACTCTGCATATTATATATAAATTAATTACGTATTACGTATTTCATGGAACCCCGTTTCTCTTCTCCCTCACCATTTTCCAGAAATCCCTGTCCTTCTCCTTCCATTTATCCCTTCATTTTCCACATGCCATTTCTCATTCTCATTAACTACACTAATTACATGCATTTGACGGAAACACAAACTCACTTAATGATCCCAATATAAATGTTAGTTAAGATGATAGTCACCCAGCTCATGAAGAAAATGTGTTTCTCATAAACTATAATTATTAATCAAATTTCAATTAATCAATTTGTGTTAATTTTGCTTGTGCTAAAAGCATATCGCGCTAGGATCCTGGGAAACGAAACCCTTTTGGCTTTATATATTGACGT